CTACCAGCCCCAGGCGGATTGTGCTCATCGACGTCGTCAGACTCCAGCAGCTTATACGCCTGACAAGGACCAGTCAGCTCTCCGAATCAGGAGCTGATCTTCATAAACTATTCGCATTACCCTCGAACAGTTGGAGCGCATCGTAAACGTATTAGCCGCAGCAGCACCTCCTGACATGAAACGATCGCCCACGTTGGGATGGGGCGCATCCATCAGGCCACTCGCAACAGAACCCGCGGACTCGTACGGCATGCACACAACCCTGCGGCAGAAACAAGTACCCTCTTGGTCTCGCAACACAACACCAACTGTAAGAACAGAGAGCGCTAGCATCACGACAGCATGCTCCTATGCTATCGATTCCAATTCCTTTGAAACAGTATTTTGGCGTCCTTGCTGTGTCTCATAAGTATAGTACAAAATTTGCGAACATCACATTCACACCGTTGATTTCCTTCGTTGATTCTCCAACGGGCTCGGCAAAACGCCTGCGTTCCAGCGAGAACCTCAAGAGACTTACAGCCAGTGGCCACTATAGCGACATAGTTTAGCACAATTACTACCTTTTCGTTGACATCAACCCTCAATACTTCATCGTACTAGACACGGATAAGAGACGCCGCCTGGTCCCAATAGGATGCGCTCTCGAGCTGAAAAGAACCCTACAGCTAAACCTTACTAGACAAGTTCGTGCTAGACTAGGTGATCTGGGAAACAGCTCGATACTCGACTGATGGCAAGCAGATCTCCCTGCGGCTCGAAAGCCAACCCGCGGTTGAAGACAAGCTGACCTGTTGAAGACATGCGAGTCGGATCGAGAGTAATCAACAGACATCACAGCAACAAGCACACATGGCCTTTGAGACCAGCGGTTCAGAGCGACCGACCGGACTACTACTGTAGTGTAGTCGCCCTACCTTGCCAACTAATGACCGCTCATCACAGGCATCCCCATCAGCTATCTCGCCAACGCCATACAGCGTACGAGAAGGATAATGAGCTAAGTGATCATCGGCGGTTTCAGCGGCTGGCCATCGCTTCTGCGGCCGGGCGGGCGATGCAACAAATGGTCCCAAATGACCACCATGCATCCGTCACCAGCACCAATGCTAACCATCTATACCATACATGAAAGCAAACCTACTGATACCTCTTGATGGAAGTGCAGTTGAGCCACCGCTACAGAGAAGTTGTCGGGTCGCCATAGACATACAAAGGGGATGTCAATGTCCTCAAAATCTTGGTGGCCACTAACAGCCACTGCGGCCTCTAGGGAGAACTCCAAACCCGGGACGTCAGCCGAATGACCCACCGCTGGGAGGGAACTTCTAGCGAGTGCACGAACACCATAGTTCTCGAAGAATACATCGAAATTCCTTCACTGTTAATGAGACCTTCAGACGTCACCATTGCAACCGTACACAACCTCCTCCCTTGCTTGCTTCGAGTCGGCCGCCGATCAGCTGGAGGGAGCATGAGACCGTAGCCACGGCTGAATGCGACTCGCATGGCGCCATCAGAGCTCAGCCCCGACAACTCTTCGGACCATACTGATGTGCGCAACCACCTTGCCGAAATACTGTCCAAGAGAAAGCTCATCGCTGTCGCACAAAAAACATCATCGGGTATCCCATATTGAAAACCCAAGGCTGAGCAAGACCAAGTTGAACAATGAAATGATTCAGAGAAATGAACGGAAGAGAATGAACTTCCACGCAGTATTTGAAGTCATCTCGCTAACGCCGACAATGCCGACGGAGGTGACAG